GATGGACTGGCGTCCTGTCCAGGGTGTACCCTGCCTTGTGCCCTGTGATGGACTGGTGTCCTGTCCAGGGTGCACCCTGCTTTGCCCCCGTTGCCAGTCAGTACAGGCTCCGGCTGCCCCGCGACCCTGTGTTGGGTGACACAGTTAGACGATATTAGGAATATCTGGTATCCCTGCTCTACTTCTGTTAGTTCAGTGAAATAGTGAGGGTCCCCAGCTCTTACGAAACAGAAGGTACGTCTCCCCAGTGTTTGTCACGATACTGTGGAGACGTTAATGATCTGCAGTTTTCGGAAGTTTAAAATAATTAACTTCAGGCCACCTTCAGAGTTTGGCCAGCAGTAGGCAATCACACCCCTATGGAGAGGTGAGTCATTCTTACCATGTGTTTCTGTACCATTTGAGCTTGATTAATCTTGGAAAGGACATAAACTACTGTTTATTATTACTAATACAGACAACGTTTTATGATTCTAATGTTTATTATTCTAGCTGGTTCTGTGAAGTAAACATGGTGATGTCTTCTGGCGCCGGCAAGATGGCAACAGTTTACAGAAAGCTCTCTCCTGGTGCAACTGTGTTAATGTTTATTTATACTTTACTGCTACTTGAATAAATAGTTTGGGGATTTATTAAGCAAGTGACTGAGACCTTAAAAAAAATAAAAAGTAAAAGGCAAATGCTGAGGAAGATTTTCTCCTAAACCTGAAGCAAGAGTTGGCGTAAGTGGACGCAGAGGCTGTTGGGACAAAGGGGGAGCTCATCCAGCCCAGGAAGAGTATCTCTCCCGCCATTGTGTGGGCCTTGGAATTTACTGATCCCGCTGGATTCCAGTCAGCGAGCCATGACTCCTGCTGTTACACTTCTATTGGAGTTTCCTGACCTACATATAGCTTCCTAGTTCATCTTCCAAGAGAAATATAGACAGTGATAACAGTGATGTTTTACTATGTAAGAAAATAAATCCGTATTGTCGTCAATGACACTGTGGCACTGAGATTGTTTTTGTGTTTATTTTACATCATCTCCTCCAGAAATTACCTACCTTTCCTTTGTGGAAGTCACATTTATATGAACTCTGTAGTGCGGAGTGCTAAGAGACATTCTTCGCACAGGTAATAAAAATTGGACCTGGGTTTCTTTGATTCCTGGCATCGGAAAAGGATTGTCTTTGAATGTAATTGGTGTCAGGTGTGAAGGTGTCTGTGTTTAAAGATAGTGTGTGTCCTTCTGTGTTTTTTTTTTCCACATCTTGAAACTACATGAATGGGGTTTTGAAGGTGTTGCTGTTTAATCCTTACATTCATGGTAGATGAGTTTTTCTCCTTCTCAATCAGTTGCAGTTTTTTAGTTAATATAATTAATGCTATATAATATTAATTAATTGCAGGACCAAATCCCATTTCACTATCCATTTTATGGAAGAGGTCATGGTCAGTCTCCACTCCCCTTCCTCCATTAATTCGCTTCTTCCTGGAAAAGAGGTTTAGTACTGCTCTAATAAGGCTTAAATATCCATGTGTCCAAAGTATAGTGATATCAGATATACAGCAGCTCAATTCTAACTTTTATTTTGCCATGTTTTTAGGTGGATGTAAATTTTAGATTTATTAACTTGATTCATGGCTTGCTGTGTAATACAAGGTGGTTGTTTTGCTGAGTGGCACAGACAGGCTGTGAGGCTGCCCTTCCAGTGAGCCCAGGGGAGGTTCATCTATCTCTGTGTCTGACCAGTAAAGACTTAATCTTTACACCACTGTCTCCTGAGGTAAATTGGGACTGGTCATTAAATTAAACTACCTCACAAGGTAAAAAAAAAAACAGGTCATTGACCAGCAATTTTAATATGTATAGTTTTTTTATGACAGCCGTTTGTTAATCGTTTTCTTCAGCTCTTTTTGTAAGTAATTCACTTCGCTGATTTTGTACCTCCTTTCGTGTGCGTTTTTTTTCTTTGCTTTTACGGGTGCCAACCACACACGTTAACTCCATAATTATCACAACCTCTTGGTGACATTGACAGTGTGCCAGTGCCAGAAAGACATTCCTGGAATACTGTCGGAGTGTGGAAGTATATCCTTTGGACAAGACAAACAAATCCACATAATCCAGAAACAAAGCTCATAGATCTAATTTTAGTTGCCTGAATAACTTGGTTCATGTGTGGACAGCGTCACTTTGTCAGCTGCTATCATTGCAGTGCACTGCGAGCAGCTGTTCTTAGCACAGACAGGACTGCAGTTCTGAATACCTATCAGTATAGAGGCTGAAGCATTCTAGACAGCATGTATAACGTTGTCTTTAAGTTAGCTCAAACAGGCGTTTGCATGCATAAGATCAAATTAATTTTCTCCGTAGCTGATTATTTCCTTCAGCACGATGAACAGAACAATAAATCAAGGAAGGGAATGGCACTCATTAAGCTGTTTATCCCACAAAACGTTTTGCTGGCAAATGTTTTATGCCGGTTTTGCAAGTCCAAAATGTTCATCTTTAGATGGGGATGAGGGTATCTTTAAAGATCATATTTTGGAGGCACGTTGTCAGATTGTGGGCGGCACGGTGGCGCAGGGGTCAGCGTTGCTGCCTGGCAGCGCTGGGGCCCCGGGTTCAATTCCAGACTAGGGGTGCTGTCTGTGTGGAGTTTGCATGTTCTCTTCGTGTTGGCATGTGGATGCTCTGGTTCCCTCCCACGGTCCAAAGACATGCCGATAGGTTAATTTGCTCCTGTAAAACCAGCCCTGGTGTGGGTCTGTGTTTGTGTCTGTAGCCTGTGGTGGACTGGCATTCTGTCCAGGGTGTATCCTGACCAGCACGCAGTGCTTCCTGGGATACCCTCTGGCCCACCGTGACCCTGAACTGCATAAGCTGTTATTGAAAGTGATGTCATTTTCTGAGATCTCCGGGTTGTTTTTGTTTCGCACAGGTGGTGATGATGGTGCAGGAGCGCCCCCTGCTGGCCGATGTGGAAGCCCTGGGGAAATGTCGCAGAGTCCTGGACCTTATCTGCGAGAAGTGTGTGAAGCAGAGAGATATGAATGAAGTGCTGGCTATGAAGATGCACTACATCAGCTGCATTCTTCAGAAGTGTGCCGCGTTCCTTAAGGAACAAGAGGACAAACTGGATGGACTTGTCAAGAGGTTTGTATAAAAATAGTGTAGCTACTATTTTTGCATTCCTTAAGCCATCCAGTTGTAAAACCTACAGGCCACCAAAAGAAAGGGCTGAAATGTCTTGCTAAGTCTGCTGCTTATTTTTTAGATGCATTGAAATTACTCCAGTAAACTATCATTTGTCTAATGAAAAGTTTATCATTTTAGATGCTTATTTAAATCTATTTCTTATTAAAACTTGTGGTAACAGTGGTAATACATACAATTGTATTAATAATAATAATAATAATAATAATCCAGAACCAGATAATTAAACCCGATGACAAAATTATAATTTATTTTCCAACAGTGTTAATGCTAACAGGCCGTTTTGTAAAGATTACAAACCAAAGTGCTTTTAGTATGAAAAGGTGAAAAAAAAAGGGTTTATCCTTTAGTTATCGCTGCTTTGCATACCTGAAATCCCAAAAAGTGGCAGACCAATAAAGCCAAATAAACTTGAAGAACTGAACATTATGCTATCATGAGGTCTGCACTTCAATAAGTAAATGCCAAGGGAATACCTATTCATAACCTACATTTTGCTTGTGTTTTTAATATTAGAATGAATTATTTGATTTTATACTAAACTAATTGACATTCATTTTTCTTGCCTGCCTTGCTCAACATTGGTTTGATTTTGTCCTGCTGTCTTTAAATATCCCTGTGGATTTGTAGTCAAAATATCTCCTGAGGTTTTGAGTGTTACTCTTGCATATTCTGTGGTTAAGACTGTGTACAGTAACTGTTTCTGCAATCTCCTAAAACAGCCTGCTGAAAGGGAGAGACAGCGATGGTTTTCCAGTGTACCAGGAGACGTTTATCAGGAAGTGCATCAGGAAGTTTCCTTATTGCGATGCCACTCTCCTGCAGCAGCTAGTAAGGAGCATTGCTCCTGTAGAGATTGTAAGTACTATCTTGCTTTACTAAGTTCAAGTAGGCAGCATGCGTGGGATGCAAATGAACAAGTAAAGGTTTATTCCATGCTCTTTTCACCTTAGAATAAACTTTTACTTGTTCATTTGCCCTACTGTCCTAATACAGCTCTTTTTGGCATTGCACATACTACTTTTATTGACTGTAAATTAATGTATTTTACTCAGCATTGTTATAACTGAAGCATAGCACAGGTTGTTTATCATTCATTTTAAATGCTCCTTACTTCTCAAGATGAGAAGCAACATGTATTGTAAGTTTGCTTTTTAACAATATTGGAGGTTTTCATGGTAATCATTACATTGGAAGCCAATGAGTTTGTGGGCATGAACAATTACACACTGTAGTGTAATATTTAAATTTACTCTTTTGTTCTCCTCAAATCAGGACTGTACTGGTCTTTAAAGGCTTTGTTTTCTGTTTGTGCTCGAAGTGAACTGTTTAACATTATAAGAATTAGAATATGCTGGCTGAGGGTTTAGATAGACCTCTAGGATCCTTCTCGATGTGTACCATTTGCCTTATCTTTTAGTTTTTAATGTCTTCTTCCTGAAAATGAAACTGTCTCTCAAAAAAAGGTCTGTTGTGAATGGGTGCTGTTTGGTGCTGTATCTCCGGTCTCTCCAGGGAAATGATCCAACAGCTTTCTCTGTGCTGACTCAAGCCATCACTGGCCAGGTGGGCTTCATGGATGCGGAGTTCTGCACCACCTGTGGTGAAAAGGGTGCAGATAAAAGGTGCGCTGTTTGCAAAATGGTACGTGGCATTTCCTTCCGCAGGATAAATGAGATAAGGCACTTGGGAAAGGGGCAGGACCAGTATTTGTGCGGGTCAGTGTCACTAAATCAATCATACCACCTTGGCGTTTGATCTCGGAACATCTTGCACTGATGCCGAACCTGATTAAAACTTGGATGGGAAGCAGAACCCATTTGCATTTAATTCTTTCCATCCCAGAGGATCTCACAGTGCTTTGCATATAGATGGTCAACCACTTCATCCAGCACTGGAGTTCAGCCACCAACTATGCACCAGATACATTTCTCTGCCTGAGCTGAAGTGAAAACTTTCTTCAGTTCAGGCTGTGAAAGTCAGAGACTAATTCAGCCAGAACATAATACCCCACCTTACAGGGAGTGCCACAGCACAGTTGTCACAATCCTGGTTTGTTTGTCTCATCTGATAGACAGTATGTCCTACAGTATTATCCCTTGTTGGAAAATTCTGTTCTAGACGGAAGGGTGACAAATATTGATTCATCATCCACCCTTACAGTGGTAGCCTGGTTTTCCATAGACGCATCGTATCCCAGCTATTGACCAGGCCCAGCCTTGCTGAGCTCCTGGGCTCTGATTTCTGATGAGATCAGGTGGTGTGGGTGGACCAGTAGGTGACATTTTTCCCTCTGGAACACAAATTCCAAACCAGTAAGGGTTTTCCTTTAACCCTTAAACATCGTACAGACAGACCTGGAAATAATATGCATTAATATGCCAATGAGTATAAATACATTGTTTTTTCTTTGTAGGCTATATACTGTAACCAGTCATGTCAAAAATTACACTGGTTCACACACAAAAAGGTGTGCAAGAGGCTGAAAGAACAAAGAGAAAAGCAAGAAGCAGAATCTGCCAAACAGAAAGAAAAATTAGAAAAGGAAAAACAAGTCAATGGTACGTAATCAGTTTTAATCTGTTTCTTTTTGCATATTCATGACCTTTTTATTGGTGCTCCCCCACCCGTTTGTCCTCTTCACCAGGGCGTTGAGAACATCTCACTAGGATTTTCACTACTCTTTTCACTCACAGCTGAAAGCGCTGAAGTGGTAGAAGACGCCTCTAACACTGGGCAAGATCGAGCTGTGGACCAAGCCAAAGAAAAGGAGTCTGAAAGTGAAGACTCGTCTACCGGTCGGTCAAATACAGCTGCTCCTGGCACAGCTCGGAGCTCCGAGGAGTGACGTCTTGAACGCCTGGCACTGGAAAGTGGGGCAGCAGAGAATTCGAGTTTTGGAAAAGCAGGAGTCGCACTTCGTGGACACGTTGTCCCACTGCCTTGCTGCCGGGCAAGCAGAGGAAAACAGACTCCCCACCGGAATTAGAATTGAAGAACATGAAGAGCGACGTCTGCCCACCATGGTCAAGTCTTACTGTCTGTTTGTGGAAACAGTCTAGTTACAATTATGCTATTTAAAGAAATAGTACTAATTATGGGAACTATTTTGTTGAGGCATTTCTGCCAAATAATAGTGTATGCCATTTTACAGAAGGAAACCCCAATTGGTTGATGCTACTAAAGTCCAGTTGTTTCTTGTGTTGAAATCGCCAAGGCTGTTTTTTTAATATGTTAATTCAACTATTTATTTCGTTTAAACCACAATGCAAGATTTTTTTTCTCTGAAGGGATTCGTGCTCGTGTTAATGTTTTCACTCCTGAAGGAGAGCACAGTGTGTCATCTTCGGAAATGTGGGGCACAAATTACTCATTGGTATTGTCCTTTTGTTGAAAGTAAAAGATAGGTGGGCATTTCTTGAGAGGAAAATGCAAGCTGAACAGGCACGAGGCAACCATGAGAAGGTCTCCGTTTCGTTTTAGCTGTTGTAGCTTGGGTTGCTATGAAACATGAAGTTGTACACTTCATTATAATAACTGGAGGATCAGGATTATGCTTTTGCCCTTTAGAGTTCAAACATTTGACTCTAAGCATATACACGTGCTGTACTACATCATAACCAAATGATAACCAACACATCTGCGGGGTTTATGAGCTGAAACGGTTATCTGTACATTCTTGCTGTTGTTTTTGCTTTGTGCTCAGATGTTGTTTTTTTTCCACCCAGAACATTTTCAGAATGCGTACTGACCGTGACTTTCAAGTCACTTATTAGTGACTGTTCAGCTCATCAGTCGTTAACGCCTTTAAAGTACTGCATTCTGTTTAGTCATGTTACGAGTACCCAAAAGACAGGCTGTGTTCACAAGTGACCTTAAAGTAATGTAATATTGGTATACAAATTAAAACCACAGTAATCTCAATCCTGGATGAATATTTAAGTAGCTCATCAAAGTAGTTAATTTTACATTTATGTCAATAAACGGTGATTGATGTTTCAAAGTACTGTATACAGTATAAAGTAAATGTTATTGATGTGGCAACCTTTGTCACAAGTTTCAGAACTCCGTTTAACTCTGTACAGGTAGATAATATTGCTCTAAAAATATGATGAGGCATAATATTTATTTCTTTACAAGACATGAAATTTTGTGCACAAAAATGGCATGGTCAGATCTGGTTTTAAAGAAATTGCATTTAGTGGCCAGTAGTGTGGAAATGACAGGTTGGTGGCAGCAGAATAGGACTGCAAAAATTACTGAGGCTTTGGGGGAACCGACCATCGCCAATGAAAGAAATTCAAGTTTGACCTCATATTTTTTAACCACTGGCACTCTTAACTTTTGGGGTTTTGCGAGTCACTGTATATGCATCACTTTATTTTCCAAAGATGTATACCTGTGCGTTTATTTCCCTACAAGAAACTGTATCCTGACAGTCATCTGAATTTCACAGTGATAATCCGAGGGGATTCGGAAGGCTGGTCCTCCGGGGGGTTTTGTTGTGAAGTAGGTATGTTATTCCAGTCCATGGAAGAGAACTGCATCACTGATCTTTGCAGGGTTTTGATTACTGAAGGATCTGGATGGTCCTTGCTGGGAAACCTGTGAATATAGGCACAGGATGGGAACTGACTGACTGTAGTTAGGACAGCACCATCTAATTAAATATGAACACCAATGCGACTGCAAAAGTATGGGTTATTTTTCTTTTAAAGTTAAATTCTGGAATTCTTAACAGCTGGTTTGGTTAAAAAAGAAACAGAGCTGTGATTTTCTGGATTTTCTGTATGATGTTAGTTTTTACTTTTATAACTTTCTGTAGCATCCTCTACAAAAGATTTCTCTATAGAAATGATTAAACATACTGTAAGATATAACCATAGAAACTACTGAAACAAATTAAATCGAACACTGTGACATAAGGCAATATAATGCCAATACCTCACAAATTGAAAAACACCTTTTAAGCCAGATATCAGAGCAATGTTTTATTTCAGGTAGTAAGTGATATTTAATGGTACTATAGAATCTTGGATTCTTTAGTTCTGGATATAAATTTGGTTTTTGTCCACATTACATTTTGAAATCTAACTTGGTGAAACTAGTTCTTACCTGTGTTGCTGTCTTCTCAACCCATACTTACCTGAAAGTATATTACAGGTTTTAGATTATATTGTGTAAATTACAGACCTTTTGACATCCCAATCCTTTTTGTTATTTTTATGTAACTTTTTTAGGAATTGGTTCTTTAATCCCACAGTTTAAACTTAGCCTCTAGGCATTTTCTTGGACGTTTCTTGTAGCTCCACTTGCAAACAACAAAAAAGTGTTAAACAGTGTTGATAAAGATTACGGTCTTCCATGGTGCTGGACACTAGTCTTTAAAACATATTTCAAAGTTTAAAAGAATAATTAAATCTTATCTGTTGTGACTGTGACCTACCTATTCCAAAGCATTGGTGTACAATTGTGCTGTGCTCTGCCCTAAGTTGTATTGGATGCTAAAATGTATTAATTAACAATAAAGAAGACAGAAATTCTAGTAAAACATCCATTCTTCCTGACAGACAATCTGTATCATGATCACGATTTAAAGCCTCGTGACATTATTTTTCCAGTGATGAAGTAAGTCTAAGATCTAAATTTATTTTTCATATAGATTGATGGTGTAAAATCTCCTGACAAGATTCTAGCCTCAGGATAAGATATATAAGTGGTTCACATACCATCAGCGCCCTGGTAGTCTACAGGAACTCCTTTGTCCTTTGTCGCTGTTGTTTTTTTTATGATCATGGGTTTTTCTACTCGTCTTCCAAAAGCCAGTGACTGAAGGACACGGTTTCGCTCAGGATCAAACAGATGAGATGCAGCAATCCTTTCCTCTTGCTTTATTGCTGTGAAGAACAAACTGCTTGAAAACGCTGTAACGGTAGTGCAAGGGATTTATCAGAGGCAATCCTGTTCACATTTTGCGCTGCATGTTTTGGCCAAAGTGCCCTAATGAAACTAAGATGCTATAGCAACTGCTAATACTGTTGTATAAACAAACTTAATTTGAGCTTTTATAGGCAGGTGTCTTTTGAATGAGATACTAAGTTCTTTCTTTGATGAAAATAAGTCCCTTTCATTTAAAAAAGTCACCAGCCCCAGTGGGACATTGCTTGCTTCTGGAAGCAGAGGCAGAGCTGTGTATACTAGCTGCTGAAGGCGGTTCCGGGATTAGAGTGATGTCACTTCCTGCAGCCTGGCCTGTCTTCTTCTCGGCTGCAGGCAGGACGCAGACTCTCCTTCTACCTCAGTACCTCAGGGAGTATGTGCAGCCACTCGAGCTTCTCTCATCCAAGGGCTTTTACTAAAACTGCTTCTTGTCCTCCAAGCAGCCTCCATGTGTATAAATAATTTCTGGAGAGCTGAATAGGTTTGGCATGTCTTCTCTAGAAGGTTGCGGCTGGAAGAGGTGTTAGTGGGACCAGCAGGGGGCGCCCACCCTCCGGTCCATGTGGGTCCTAATGCCCCAGGATAGTGACGGGGACACTATACTGTAAACAGGCGCCGTCCTTCGGATGAGAATCCCAGGGTGTTTCTCGAAAGTACTAGGGCTGTAAGCCCGGCATCCTAGCCAAAATTTCCCATTGGCCTTTACCAATCATGGCCTCCTAATAATCCCCCTCTATGAATTGGCTTCATTACTCTGCTCTCCTCCCCACTGATAGCTGATGTGTGGGGAGCGTCCTGGCGCACTATGGCTGCCGTCGCATCATTTAGGTGGGGCTGCACATTGGTGGTGGTGGAGGGGATCCCCATTACCTGTAAAGCGCTTTGAGTGGACTGTCCAGAAAAGCGCTATATAAGTGTAAGCAATTACTATAAAATTAATTATGATTAATATTCTCTAGAAGCTCTCTCTCTGCTTTTCTCTGTCCAGGGTCTCTTAGACACTCTTACTCCTCTTTTCTTTCTTCCTGAAAATGCCTTGTCCTCTTCACTGTTTTCTGACCCCCAGTGAAAGATTGGTCTCTTTTTTTCCCATCAACAACACGTAAAGAGGAATATTGCAGAGAGTGCTCCTGTTCCAGCACAGGGCCTGAGGGAAGGCTTTGAGAGTCATGCACAGGAACTATGGTCAGAGTCCCAGCCTCTGTAAATGAGCTCCTTCAGCACAGGCTGTCTCGACCACTGCTAGGCAACGTACAGTGAGCCAGTGCTCCTCTCTGCACCCTTGCACATGCCCTCTGTGCGCTTTCATAAATAATAAAGGAATCACTCATGGTGGTGGGATGTTGTACAGGAAGGATTATTACCGTATTTTAATGAAAACACAGGTTTATTTTTTTGTTGTTGTTGGTGTTGGTGAATATCTGTTCTCATAAGCCTCGCTAAAACTATACAAAGGTCACGGACTACATTTTGTCAAACTGTATTCCTGAGATTTATAAGGCTTTGTAAAACTTACCTCGCCTGTCAAGCACTGTAACTGATGGTAGGTAATAAATAACATGGAGCCGATAGCCTGGATCTTGGGCAAATGGGTTAAGGAAAAAAGCTGAAAATTGAGAAAGTCAAGGCATTAAATTAGTTTACAAAAATGTTGGGCAAAACAGGTTCAGTTTTGATAAATGCACTGTTAAATAGGTAAAACATTTTAAAAAATACAACTTGTTTTGAATTATTTTGAGTTTGGTTGAATTTTTCTTTATTAAAATTAGTCGATTGTTGGTACAGTATGTATGTAGACCTTCCTAAGTGAATATAAATTATTCATGTAAATTATAGATACATAAATCTTTGGAAAACAGAAATGTTAAGGAGTTTATTTTTAGTATCTCCATGTAAAGGTACTATTTGGTGATATCTGCATCTTACCAAAGGTTACCAAAACTGTGTCACTTGTGAAGAGTGCTCAGCGGGCGGGTTGCGTCAGCAGGACGGGGCAGGGTTGAGGTCACAGGTCATTTTGGCCGTGTGTGATAACAGGCCTCGGGGCACTTACTGAGTGTCATCAGGAACTGCATCCCCCTGAGCTCAGACACAGCCTCTCCCAGCTTCCGCAGCTGGTTCTTGTGAAGCAGGAGAACCTGCAGAGAAGTCAGGTGGTTCAGGCACCCTCGGTTCGGACACAAAAAAGGAAGATTTAGACAGGTTATACACTAGCTTATCAAAAGCATAAGCACAGATTGTGTGCCAGTATACTGTACCTCTGTCAATACAATATATGACAAGCCCATGCACTATGTACTGAATAGCCACATATGGGAGAGTAGCTCATACGCTATAAACTGTATTGCCACATATAGGAGGATGCCACATCCTATTATCTTAGAGTACTGAAAATAAATGTATAGAGGAGTCACTGAGAGTAAAGAAATGAGTGAATGTTTTAGCCAAGGATACAGAATTTAGTTAAATACAGCTAACAAATGACTCATACCATATTAATGTTCCATTGAGCAGATTTTAATAAAAATAGACTTTTACACATCTAGACTAAATTCCTGTCATCTTTTTTATAGTTGGTCTATAGATCATAAGGAAGGTGAATTATTATGAGTCCCTGTGGCCTCTTACACACAAAAACATGAATATTCAGAATAGTATTGAAGCTTCAGAAGTGTATTAATACAGAAGTCATAAATACAATTAAATTACCTGTTATATTGGTAATTTCATTATTGTGGAGGTACAGTTCTGTCAGTCGGTAGTTATAAGTCAAGCAGGGAATTTCCCTAATCTGTAAAATGGCATATTCAGTAGTGTGGTTAGATCCTTATGGATGTTATAGAGAGATGAAATATGTACTGTACAAAGTACTTGGCGTGAGTTATTCAATCAATCATTACGTGATTATTAACTTCAATACGTTTAGTGCCCGTACTGTGGGAATCTGTCTGGATTACCTTATTATTGTTGAGCCACAGATAGTTTAGCATGGGGAATCCAGAGAGGTCGCAGACACTGGCAAGAGCTCTGAGAACATAATGTGAGAATGTACGTACGGTACTGTTAGTAGTTGAAAAGACAAAGAGTAAAAAACAAAGGAAAATCACATTGTAATCTTTCCAGTCATTTTTAATAATAATAATAATAATAATAATAATAATAATGAAGATGATAATGATGCTGTTGAACAGCTGTTTAACAGTCCTAAAACTGTAACTAGGTTGACTTCGGCGGTCTTCAGGAATTTGAATACTTGAATCCGGTCCCCTCATTACTTTCTCTGTTCAAACGGTAGGCTCTTATTTTTAGCCTGTCGGCGTATTACGTTCCTTTATTTACAGGGGAATGCACATCTTTGCTCTTCTATGTACTGTTTTCAGCACGGCATTATCATTCGTTTTTAACAAGCGGTGACCAACCTTGTGCGCAATATTCTGTTATGTGAGGTTTGAGTACCTCAGTACAGTTTTTAGATACATACTTTATTAATCCCCTAAGGATTAAATTTAGCGTCACTTCATTTGAATTCTACACCTTTAACGTTCACGTTGGCTTTCCCAACATTGCCCAGAAGATGCAAACGACGAAATAAGGATAGTTTTCACGGACAGCTCCTGACACATCGTTCCCCTCTTACGTTTCTGCTGTTCATGTTTGTACTATCCGTGTGTAATACTCAGCACAACTGTATTTTAAAAAATCGGTGGCGAACTGGTTGTCCAAACCACCATGTTGAATAATCAGCAAACAGAATTACTGTACTGATCTCGCCCGTTTCCATACACTGTATGACGCTAAGCGTACAATATCAGTTCAGGTATTACAGAGGTGTCCTTTACTTACTTCCTCGCAAGATAAAGCTCACTGACATCGACAGATTTCTTAATCCCATGCTTTTGCAGTATATCTCTTATCACCTAGAGAGAAAATGACAACTCAGCTGAAAGCTTTATGAACTAAGTTATACCGTGCTGTATATGACAGGTACAAAAGGCGCTGCGCTTTTCTGCGATACACATCGTAATGCACGCACATGGAGCGCATACAGTATAAGATATTTCTTCCGACAGGTGAAAGAGCGATAACTATCAGACCGTACCTGCTCCATCGCCCGAGCTTCTGCCACCTGTGCACGTTTACTGTTGCCAGGAGACGCCAGCTCTCACCTATGCTTCAATAACAACAAAATATCAGGTGGCAGGTGGCTTGGCATTTCCGCGTACGTTCATCACCTTTACAAAAAATTACCTCACTAGCTTAATACTGGTATTTAGAATAGGAAAACAATGTGAACACGTACAGGATTTCTGTCAACATTTTAACGACATCAAACGTTCGAGTAAGAATAGCAAATTGCGGGGAATATACAACTTCATTGTAACGTGGTGTTATGTAATAATAATAATAATAATACAAATAATAACAACAATAATAATAATAATAATAATAATAATGAATGTTAGTGTTGTTGCAATGCGAACATTTAGGGGCGGTCAGTTTAAGGGAAATAATTTGAGTACATCTAAGACAGCTTTGTCGAAAGTATCACGGCCGTAGATGATTTAAAACAACAAGAAAACCGCTTTAGAGGGCAGCGCTTGGACCCCAGGATACGGAAATGATCTTTCAGATTCGCTTCGTGCATTTCGTTAAGGCGACAGAGAGGTCTGTCACAGTGCTTGAATTGTGATCCATTAAATTTTGTGTTTCGTCCGATCGAAATTTGATATTGACTCAAATAAAAAACTGTAGGATTCAAATACAGTAGCTGATGTGTGACAGTTATCACTAGATGGCAGACTTTCTCTGAAGCCCAGATGCAGCTTGGTCTGTCGTTAGGCTCTCTTCATGAGCAGACGTATCCTTTACCACGCTGTTTTGGAGGCAGATTTGTGTTTTATTTAATAAAAGACATATTTGTCCTGTAATGTAATTGAATAATGGTCTAAACCTTGATAGGTGACTGTTGTATACATTTACGACAGCACAATGCACAGATACACTACTGTACAGTACAGTGTGTGTTTCAAAACACTTTGAATTGTACTCTTATAACGACTTCGACTCACTGTTTCTTTAAATAATAGATCTGAAAATAATATTTTTGTCAAGCCGCAAAATGGAATTGGTACCTTCAAAAACTATCCTCACCCTTTATGAAAGATACACTCTTGGAACACTTTTATTCGATGTTTGCTTTCCGATATAATATTTGTTGTTTACAGTACGTGCTGTAACAACTTAATCATACAAGTGCATTGAAAGAAGCAGTTAAAACAGGCAATAGCAGAAACAACACAAGCCATACTAGTCTGAAATGTATATACAAAGGATATGGTAGTGTTACCACTTATCCAGATTAACTCAAATCATTTTAGTTAAACCCTTCTCAGATTATGTTTCCTGACAGGTTATGATTTAGACAGTTGTTGGAGTTAGCAGTTGGAAAGCTCACCCGTTATTACAAGTCTCTCTCCACCCAAAGACTGGAAAGCTACCAAAATCAAAGTAAATTAAGGAGACATGGCCTTTGTCAGTCATGTTCTTATTTTATTTTGTAAAAAAATACAGAGAAGGGCACATTTCACTAAAAGCCTGTATTTAAAACAAGATTGATTGTTTTAGGTCAGAATCTTTGAACTTATTTTACTGGCAACATATATGTTATTAAGACATAAATATGTCTTATGTGCAACAAAATGATAATTGTGCATGTAATCCATATAGTAATGAAAACTCAGGGTAGTGAAGCCTATGTTAAAGTATTGATCTTATAGTTCTAAGATATACAGCACATCACTTTCATACACAAATTATTATTGATGAATCGAACATCTATTTTTAAAAATACTGTTTTTAGCGCACACACAGCTTATACAGTCAGGAAAAACCATCTTCGTAAGTACTGTAATTAAGAAACACCAAATACATCACATTCCAGTATAACTTTCCATGTGGAAGGGTGATATTATTATAATGGTACGACATGTTCACCAGCAGAGACTCCCCCTCTCCAAACACCATTTAAAACTTTAGGTTTTAGGAATAAGTGTGTCTCTTCTTAGCGGTAATGCTGGACAAACAAAGCACACACTGACCAAATTAGCATGGAAGTCAAAATGCGGCAGAATCGTCTTCCACCTCTGGGCCAGATTACATTTTTATATGAGTTCAAGTAGGCGGCTGCGTCAGCATGCATAGGCTGCAAAGGAACAAGAAACGGTGTACTCAACGCTGAAAAGAGAAGAGAAGAAACACAACGTTTCGTCTGTGGAGCCTTCTTCAGGTGTTAAGGCCCGATACCCGAAACGTCGTGTTCCTTTCCTTCTCTTTTCAGCGTGGAGTAAACCGTTACTTGTTCCTTTGCATTCCTATATGCCCATACGCTCCTCAAGTCTTCTTTCAAATGAGAAATCTGCGATCGCGAAAGCTTTGTCTCATCGGAAAAGGGGCCGTCTCAGGAAGAGGCATGGCAGCGGTGTCGTCGCATGCTTTCTGTTTCCCTTCCGAAGCAAAGGAAAAGCACATTGTCTGGACTCTGCTTACAGTACAGCCCGCAGGGATGAGGCACAATTCTAAAAGCCCGGGACTTTTCTTTTGTTCGGAATGCGGTGCACTCTATTGTCCGTGTCAGACGCCCTCGCCACACCCACTATCGCACCGCAGGGTCTTTCCTGGTAATGGACACGCTCTTATCTTGTATCTTGTCAATATATTCATAACTCATGCTTGCTTTATTTTGCGACCTATTATCTTCCTCTCTCTAGACCTATATGTCACAGCCTTTGTGGTCAGCGAGTCTACAAAAAGAGCAATCTCAGATATCCGGTTCTTGAGACGTACAAATTAATGCTGCAGCATATCATATATACTGCGCTGATATTGTTATTTTAGACCCTGCCACCCTGAAATTCCTTGTTGCTTTCAATGAAAGAGGCTTTCCATCCATATTTAAGACCCATCTCTGGGGATGGGGGGGGGAGGTTCTTTTCACTGAAATTTAAGTTTCTCTTTCGGAAGTGTGGAAGGGGCTTACTTGGCTTCTCGGATAATAAAAGATTAGGTTAGACAGTGATGGTGTGAAATGTCACAAAAAGTAAGAGATACTATTATAGAGCAGTACAAAGCTTTCATGCGGATTCACTTTCACATGAGTAAGGAGAGAAACATTTCTGATAACACTCACACACATTTGAATTCCATTATATTATAATAGATGTACTGTATGGATTGTGCAAGATGATATACTGTATACTAGTCCACACTAACTAGATATGTCAAATGCCTTTTATTATTGAAATAATACTTGTGCTGGGATCAAAATCAAAACTGGTCAGCTATGCTATGCATACAGTATATTGTGTGCACATCAGCTGTACGAGATCAACATGTCCAGTCTGAAGGATCGCAGCCTATTGCCAGCACAGCACCCTGTTTATGAATCTGGGGAACTGCGTGTGGGATTTTGTTTCATCACGTCTGGTCAATCCATCCATTTTCCATTCACTTTTTCTGTCTCAGGGGCACGAGGGAGCCAGAGCCTATCCTGGCAAGCAACAGGTGGGGTACACCCTGGGCCGGACACCAGTACACCGCCGAGCACACACAGACACAGACACGCACACACTCACACCAGGGCCAGTTTTTCCAGAAGCCAATGAACCTCCCGGTATGTCTTTGGGAGGAAACTGGAGCACCCAGAGCAAGCCCACATGAACACAGAGAGAACATAACATACAGGTACTGTACCTGAGGTCCAGAAATGGCCCCAGGGCCCCAGAGCTGTGAAGCACTGATCTTCACTGGTAGGTACTGTGCCAACTGTGTGACCCTTGTTCTGTCACAAATTCCCTGAACACAGCGTGTTCAACAACATTCATGTTTGGTGTTTGCTGCCCTGACTCTCTGATTTGCACAGCTGGGAGCTGTGGGACCATTTTTTCAATGAAATAACCGCCACCTCTAGACAGATGACTATTGGCACAGAAGGCTAGAAATCCCTCCTGGGGGAATTATTATGTATCAGGTGAAAGCTACTGTTCTTTTGCCAAACAGCTGCTAGGTACAGATATTGGTTTAGCTTTTCACGGTTGATTTTTGTGAATATTTTACTCAGGTTGCCATGGTTTGTTGATCTGCAAAGCACACAAATCATTTTACTGTTCGCATCCTAACTTCCCACTGTAAAGATTTCCTTTCTGCCGAGTAAGGTAAGGTTCAGTAAGCCCATGTACAAGTTTTGACCTTCACCTGAAAATGACTTTACTACCATTAACACTGAATTTCTGAAGCACAATAATGTATTCTGCACTCATCCATGTGAAATAATTATCTTGTCACAAGTCAATATACAACAAGAGAGTATTAAGCCGACACAAAACCCTTTATTATGTTGCCTGAAGGCCTTGTCAGTTTGAGCTTCCGAATCAATAAGAGCCTGTGTTCTTTTTCCCAGTGGATTTGAAAATGACTTTTTTTACTCTATATTTAGGGTGCTAATTGCAGGAAGACATGACTATATTTTGTGTAATACAAAACCCTTAACAAAGTCACGCTAGGTATCAACCTTTTGTTTTGAAAGAGAAAAGAAAACATAAGTGTATAGTTGCTGGGCAAATTAAAATAATACAAAATATGTGATGGACTGAGCAAAGATTTTGAGACAGATTCTAAGTCAGTTATTCAGCTGTCTGTTCAGAGCTATTCCAGGTATAGAGAGGTAATGAAGAGAGTTACAACTGCAATCCGAAAAGGATATTCATCAGAATTAAACTGAATTATATCCAAGTGTCCCGGAGTGTCTGAATTAGGGACAGCTCTCTCTCTGCTCTAAACTGAGTCTCCATACTAGCCATCATAACAAAAGAAGTACAAAGAACTGCGTTATTGCTCAAGAAGACAGTCACAAGCGCAGATGAGGTGCGTACAGGCACATCATTTTTCATCTTCAATGTAAAGATCGTCTGACATCACCGTCCCTTCTCCCCATGCAGGAGTCCTGACAATCTGAACATGAGAAACCCTCTGGTTCATCCGTCATGAGTGGCTTCTAAAATTTCCTTTTCTTACCTGGATTAAAGGATGTGGCAAAGCACCACTTCATCTTGAGAGTATTTGAGATACAGGTGCCTGGGTTTTGTTCGTCTAAAACGTGCAGTTAACATCCCGAACCCATAAGTGAACTGCGAGAGCTCGGGAGTTTAAGGTTTCTTCTAAATCACAGAATAGTTGTATATGACCACATCAGTGAACGTTTAATTTATAATAAGTTTATTTAATAAGTAAATGCACGGCTATCTAAATAGAGAACACGTCAATTAAAACTCTTTGTGAACAGAAAGCAGGTAAATATGTGTTCTTTCTTTGCGTTCTGATTTTGTGCCTCTTTCTAGCTTCTTACCTTACAAGGTAAGGTTAGACTTTGGGCAAGGTTAGTCTGAAAGGTTAGACTTTAAGAATCGGGCATTTAAAAAACATATAAACTTCGTCCACTGTGTGGCAGAATAGTCACTCTAAATACTACAAAAAGGGGGAAATAAAGGTCGTGATATTATCTACATTATTTATTCCGTACAGAATTGTTCACTTATATACTGAAAAGGATTTAATACGTGATGCTTATATAGATTGCATAGCATGTCTAGGACAGAGTGACGGCGCAGGTTGCATGCTATAAATTGATATTCAA